TGGAGACATGTCAAATATTCTCTAAATTTTTTAATCCAGTTAGTTTTATAATCAATTGATGGACCTTGCTTCATTACAATTTTGGGCTGTGCATTATGGTGATTTTTCTGATCATGTCATTGTTTCTGTGCTTTTTCTCTTGTTAAAAAAGAATTCTCCCATTTTTTACTATCACTATAGAAATATGCTTTGTATTTTATTCAGTATGTTATAATCCATTCGTATCTATTTTGTGTGCTTGTGTGCCTGCCAGTGCACACATGTGCTAAGTCCGTTTGGGGCCACTTAAGGTTTATTCAAGCAAGCTCTCTATGAGCACTTCCTTTCATTTATTGCTTTCAATAGAATTTTTTTCTTTGATTGTTATGATTTGGATATGAGGTATCCCCCTCAGATCACCTGTGTTAGTGTAGAAATGTTAACAGGTATTGTAAGAGCTGTAACCTAATCAACCCATCCTAGTTTGAATGGACTGGCAGGTGGGTTATGTCCAAAGGCGGTGAGTCACTGGAAGTATGCCCTAAAGGATTAATCTTCCATGTATCCCCTTCCCTTTATGCTCTCTCTGCTTCTTGGCTATCATGCCCTGAGTAGCTATCCTCTACCATCCCCTTCCACCATGATGTTCTGCCTCACTTTGGGCCCAGTGCAATGGAAGTATCTCTAAAGTCATGAGACTAAACAAACATTCCCTCTTCTGAGTTTTTCTAGTCAGGTATTTTGGTTACAATGACACAAAGTGAACTTGCAAAGAAATTATTATCAAGAAGTAGAGTCACTCATGTGACTAACCTGAATATAAAGTTTACACAAATTTGGGGATAGTTTTTTGGGGAAGAGTTTGAGAAACTTTGGAGAAGTCTTAGAATTTTGTAACCAGAGCTTAATAGGTGATTCGGGTGGGAGCTCAGAAGACCAGAATACAGGTAGAAATGTGGATTGTGCTCAAGAAGTTTCAGAGGAAAATGAGATTTCTACTGGGAACTGAACTAGAAGTCCCTCATATTCTGGCAAAGATTTTGTCTATGGGCTAATTAGTCAGTTGAGAAAATTTTAAGGCAGCACAGTATCTATGCAGTGGTATAGATTTTGCTGGCATCTTTTAACCAGATTTACTGTGACAAATGGGAACAGAAAGCAGGGATAAATAAAGGATATTAAAAACTTGCAGTTTGACCTGAAAAATGCATGTAAAACTGGAACTGAGAAAATGATGGTTTTTGAAGAGATTACGGCCACTAAAAACATATTAAATACTTTCTCAGAGACAATACAAAAAGATGGCTGAGGGCATCTCAGGAATTTACAAGACCATACCTATTGTAAGCTCAAGTATGTACAAGGGAAAACGCCTTTGAGAAGATATGATGGGTGCACCCTGCTTGCTCAGGGGGCCTAGGAAGTTTTTTCACTGTGCTCAGCTGCCCAGGCATTCAGAAGCTGCTTCAGTCATGATCCCCAGGGGTTGAATAAATTCACAACCTGGAAGAAGAACTTTGAACCATCCTTATGGGGCTTATTTTTCAGGGATGCAAAATTCTGAACTTAGGGATCATTGAGGTTTCCACTAAGATTTCAAAGGAAGGCCTAGGAGGCGAAGCAAAGTGTAGCAGGAAATCCCTGTGGGTTTCCCATGAGAACATAATGCCTATAGCTGTGAAGGTAAAGCCAAAGCTTGAATGCAGACACCAAGAATAAATAAATGCCAGTAACATAGACTGTATACCAAGAAAAGCTGCTGGCTGCTGAGAAAGCCAGGCTAAGAAAGAAGGCCATGAGCACAACTAGCACAACCAAAGGAGTGGGACTCCCAAGCCCTTTGGAGAATATATCTCCTTGCCATGTGTCCTAGACACTTCACAGAGTTATTGGGACATGTTTGCCCAGCTGGTTTTTGGTCTGCTTCGTTAGATATGAGTGTTGCTATTCCTGCTTCCTTTCAGATTCCATTTGCATAGAGTATCATTTTACATTCTTTCACTTTCAGTCTGTGTATGTCTTTCTTGGTGAGGTGCATTTATTACTATTATATGGAGTGGGTACTAGGGATTGAACTCAGGAACACTTGACCACTGATCCCCAGCCCTATTTTATATTTTATTTAGAGAGAGGGTCCCACTGGCTTTTATCTCATGATCCTCCTGACTCAGCCTCCCAAGCCACTGGGGTTACAGGTATGCTCCACCAGAAGTGTATTTATTGCATGTTATAAAGAGTTGGATATTATTTTTTAATCCATTCCACCAGTCTGTTTCTTTCAATTAGAGAATTAAGGCCATTTACATACAGGGTTATTATTAAAAAGTATGTACCAATTCCTGTAATATTTGATGATTTTCTATTTCTCATTTCTAATCTACTCCTCTAGTGAGCATTATTCTCTCCTATGTTCTTGTAATTGTGTATGTGTCCTTCTGTGTGTAAGAATCCTTTAAGTAATTTCTTCAATACTATTTTAGTGACTATTAATTCCTTAAGTTTATGCTTATCTTGGAAGTATTTTATTTCTTTTTCAACTCTGAAAGATGGATTTGCTGAATATGGTAATTTAAGTTGTCAGTTATTTTCTTTCATGGCTTTATATACATCATTTCCTGCCCTCCTGACCTTCAGAGTTACATCTCATAAATCTTCTGGTATTCTGATGGGTTTACATTTATAAATAACTTGGTGTTTCTCTCTTGCCAATTTTCTTCAGTATTTTTAGTTATTGCATTATAATTATACATAATGGTGGAATGTGTGGTTATTTTCATATATGCACAATATAGCAATATAAATTTGGCCAATATCATTCCCCATTGTTTTCCCTTTCCCCTCTATTCCTCCTTCCCCCTAGTCACTTTACTTCACTCTACTGATCTCCCTTTGATTTTCATAAGATTCCCCACCCCCAACTTTTCTTTTCCTTGTTCTCATCTTTCACAAATGAGAGAAAACATACAACACTTGACATTCTGAGTTTGGCTTACTTCACTTAATATCATCCATTTTCTTGCAAATGACATAATCTCATTCTCCTTAATGGCTGAATAAAACTCCACTGTGCATATGTACCACATGTTCTCTATACATTCATCCATTAACATCACTGAGGTTGATTCCATAGTTGGTTATTGTGAATTATGCTATTATAACAAGGATATGCATGTATTACTAGATATAATGATGCTAATTCTTTTGGATAAATGCTGAGGAGTGGTACACCTGGGTCATATGGTAGTTCAATTCCATCTCTTTGGGAAACCTCTATATTGATGTCCATACAGGTTGTACTAATTCACAATCCTACCAGCAGTGTATAAGTGTTCTTTTCTCCCTACATTCACCAATTTTTATTATTACTCCTATTTTTGTTGATTTCCATTCTAACAGGAATGAGTTGAAATCTCATTGTAGTTTTGATTTACATTTGCCTATTTACCAAAGATGTTGAAGATTTTTCAAAATATTTTTATACTTGTTAATGAACACTTATTCATTTATTTATTTTTTATTTATATGTGATGTTGAAAATGGAACCCAGTGCCTCACACATACTAGTCAAGTGCTCTACCACTGAGCTACAACCCAGCCCAAAGGTGTTGAACATTTTAAATATATTTATTGACCATGTGAATTTCTTCTTTTTAGAAATGTCTATTTGATTAATTTGTCCATTCATTTATGGCTTCAACTTCACAGCTTGTTATAGGCTTTTTAAGGTTTTCTATATCTTCTTGGTTCAACTTAGTATGTAATATGTGTCTAAAACTATGTCCATTTCTTCTAAATTCTCCAATTTATTGGAATATAAGTTTTCAATATAGATCCTCATGAGCCTTTAGATTTCACTGATTTTATCTATTGATTGCCTATTTTCAATATCATTGATTTTTGCTCTAATATTTATGTCTATTTTTCGGCTTAGGTTTGATTTAGCTTTCTATTCTTTTTGCAGTTTCCCAAGTCAGAAGCTTTAGATCATTAATTTTAGATCTTTCTTCATTTCTAATATACAATTATTCAAGCTGCCTGGGTAGTTTGGTCCTGGGAGACCCAGGAGATGCAGCACCTGGCTGGGAAAATTGCATACTACTGTGGGAGTATAGATTCATGATGGTAGAACCATAGAGATGATGTAACTACTGGGTTTCAAAGCAGCATGTACTTTCTCAGTGACTCTGATTTCAAGATGCCACAGTGCTCTAGCATTGCATTATGGAGAACAAACCACAATGTGGGTTCATGGACTGCAATATTGCAGAATAATTCTTTATGAAACCTGAAGGTGTTGGAAGCAGTGGTGTGAGCCAGTGGGAGCCCCTGGCTTACATTTTACCTGAAAGGAAGATTTACTCCTGGTTCTGAGATGATACCAAGTGGTATTATTTTGTAGCAGAGACAAGGTATTTCCTTATGGTCTCTATGTGGTCAAACTGAATAGCTGTGCTCCACAGTGTTTTTGCCACTGACCTCCTTTTTATAGGGGGTTACAACCATTAGGCAGCTTTGATTTGCCAGCTTGCTGATGTTCCTCTATTATCTTTCATCCTTGGGTATGATTTTTGTCTTATATTTTTATATTTTAGACAAATAATAGATTTAATTTGAGAATATTTTAATTGATTTTATTTGAAAATAGAACAATTTTTCTGTACATATTATGAAATACATTTTGCTGTTCTATTGGATATAGTCTATTTTCTTTGGGGGGTCTTGTAGACTTCCCTTACTGCTGTTGTTAAGAGCATGTTGTTCAACAGCTTAGATAGTCTTTGTGGTCATTAAATTTTTAGCTGATACACTAAATAATGTCTGAAGGCAAGCATTATTTAAGAAACCTATTTGTTCTCTTCAAAAAATAAAATTATGACATATAAAGATTTCCATCTTCCCCTCCAAAAATGCCCTTTTTAAATCTTTCTTACTAAAAGATAAAGGATTTTTTGGTGTATTTTCTTACTATTATACACAAATATAAGAAACTGAGAAAAATTTGAAAAAACAATTCTACTAACCTTTGAAGTGCCACAATCACATTCTTCAGTACCTTCTATTATTCCATTGCCACATATTTTCCTTTGTGCTTCTACCCGAACTGGCATATCAAAAGGATTCTTCTCAAGACATGAAAGGCCATGTTTTGAGGTTAAATATTTAAAATTATCGACACTACAAGTGCTGAAATCCTTTATACCAGCAGCATAGCTAAAATATAAAAATATGGGTATGACAAAAATCATTGCTGTATATCTCTAGATATTTCATTTTTTTGGAGAAAAATTCCAAGAGCATTCATTTATTCTTTGTTGAAAAAATAAGTACACTTCTAAAAACATCAATTATATTGCTAATGCTTTAACAAACTTTTATAATTCCACCAGGAAAAAAAATTAATATATAAATATATATATATATATATATATATATATATATATTTTTTTTTTTTTCTAAAAATTCTTTTCTGTCATAAATAAGAACCAGTGTTGGTGACCCCCCCCCCCAATATCTGTAAGGGATTTATCCTGAGGCTCCCTGTACTCTAGACTCAAATATCAAAATCCACAAATTCAAAAATCCTTTAAATATATATGAATACATAAATTTTAACATATGTATATAAATAAAATCTCCTATGGCCTTGGAGTTTTTAAATACAAGAACTACATCATTCTTATTTCTCTTTCTAGTGCCAAACAATTGAATTTTTAACTTTTGGCCTCAATATTTAATATATTTTATATATTTAATTACTTTTGCTGTTTCTGTAAATATAAGAGTGTTAGTGTTAATATTAAGAGCATATTTTTTGCCCTTCATAATTTTAAATTTTCAAATAAAAATTGGTTATAGATTTAGCATTGAGAAAATATGGCATAGAATTATTTTCCCTGCTTCTCCTTGGTAAGTATAAAACTTTGAAAATAATGCAAGAATCTATGAAGAATTCAGAAAAATCAACTGATAGATAAACATGTTTGGACTCATAGGACAAGAGGAAGGGCATAGTACCTGGGTATCTTATATTTCCTCACTAAATAAAAAATGATCCAGGTTTAATATTTTCAGAATCACAACCTGGCAACAAAAGGTAGCTCAGATACATTCCCTCTTTCCCAAGACCAAACGTAAATCCCACTGAAGGCACAAGGTAATCCTGGCACCACCAGAATGAGAGATCAATTAGAATCACTGCTTATCCACTATGGGTGAGATTGTACATTAATTAGTACAACTACTACAGAAAACACTGTGATTCCTCAGAAAACAAAAACTAGAATGACCATGAGATTCAGAAATCTCATTACTGGGGATATACTCAAAGTAAACTAAATTACTGTGTCAAAAGACATCAGCATGGTGTTCATAATAGAAGGAAGATCAGCATATCAAAATCTCTGGGACACTATGAAGGCAGTACTAAGAGGAAAGTTTTTACACTGAGTGCATTCATTAAAGAAAAAAAAAGTCACTTGTTGACCTAACACTTCATCTCAAAGCCCTAGAAAAAGAAAAACAAATCAACACCAAAAGCAATAGAAGACAGGAAAAAATTAAAATCAGAGCTAAAATCAATGAAATTGAAACAAAAGAAACAATTGAAAAAATTGACAAAACAAAAAGTTGGTTCTTTGAAGAAAATAAATAAAATAGGTAAACCCCTGGCCATGATAACAAAGAGAAAAGGAGAGAAAACTGAAATTACCAAAATACAAGATGAAGAAGGAAATATCACAACAGAAACACTTGAGGTATAGAAGACAATTAGAAATGATTTTGAAAATTTATACTCTAATAAAATAGAAAATCTGAAAGACATAGACAAGTTTCTAGAGACAGATGACCTACCCAAACTGAATGAGGAGGTCAGACCTGATTTCAACAGATCAATTTCAAGTCATGAAATAGAAAACACCATCAGAAACCTACCAAGCAAGAAAAGCCCAGAAACAGATGGATTCTCAGTCAAGTTCTACAAGACTTTCGAAGAAGAATTAACACCAATACTCCTCAAAGTATTATATGAAATATAAAAAAGGGAACACTTCCAAACACATTCTATGAGGCTAATATCACTGTGATACCAAAACCAGATAAAGACACATCAAAGAAAGAAAATTTCAGACCAATATCTCTGATAAACATAGATGCAAAAATTCTCAATAAAATTCTGGCAAATCAAATACAAAAACATATCAAAAAGATAGTGCACCACTATCAAATGGGGTTCATCCCAGGAATGTAAAAAATTCCACCAGAAAACTCCTAGAACTAATAAATGAACTCATCAAAGTAGCAGAATATAAAATCAACACCCATAAATCAAAGGCATTTCTGTATAGCAGTGACAAACCCTCTGAAAAGGTATGAGGAAAACTACACCATTTACAATAACCTCAAAAAAAAAAATTCTTGGGAATCAATGAAAGAGGTGATAGACCTCTACAACAAAAACTACAGAACACTAAAGAAAGAAATTGAAAAATACCTCAGAAGATGGAAAGATCTCCTCTACTCCTGAACAGGCAGAATTAATGTTGTCAAAATGACCATACTACAAAAAGCATTATACAGATTTAATGCAATTTCTATTAAAACAAAGACATACTTCATATAGAAATAGAAAAAGCAATCATGAAATTTATTTGGAAAAATAAGAGACACTGAAGAGCTAAAGCAATCCTTAGCAAGAAAAGTGAATCAGGAGACATCACAACACCAGAACTTAAACTATACTACAGAACTATAATAACAAAAATGACATGGTACTGGTACCAAAACAGACTTGGAGACCAATGGTACAGAATAGAGGACACAGAGACAAACCCACATAAATACAGTTATCTCATAATAGACAAAGGTGCCAAAAAACATTCACTGAAGAAAGGATAGCCTATTCAACTAATGGTGCTGGCAAAACTGGAAATCCATATGTAACAAAAATGAAATTAAACCTCTATCTCTCACCTTGCACATAAATCAACTCAAAGTAGACCAAAGACTTAGGCACTAGAACAGAGACCATGCACATAATAGAAGAAAAAATAGGCCCAAATTTCACCATGTCGGCCTAGGATTTGACTTAACAAGATTTCTAAAGCACAAGAAGTAGAATCAAGAATCAATAAATGGGATGAATTCAAATTAATTCTCAGCAAAGGAAACAATCAATAATGTGAGGAGAGAGCCTACAGACTGCAAGACAATCTTTACCACATGCACCTCTGATAAAGCATTAATCTCTAGATATATAAAGAACTCAAAAAACACCAAAAACCAAATAACCCAATCAATATATGGACTAAGGAACTGAACAGAACACTTCACAGGAGAAGAAATACAATTGATCAACAGATATATAAAAAAGTGTTAATATCTTCAGCAATTAGAGAAATGCCAATCAAAACTACTGTAAGATTTCATCTCACTCTTGTGAGAATGGCAATCATCAAGAATACAGGCAACAATAAACGTTGGCAAGGACGTGAGGAAAAGGGTACACTCATACATTGCTGGTGGGACTGCAAATTGGTGCAGCCAATATAGAAAGCTGTATGATGATTCCTCACAAAACTGGGAATGGAACCACCATTTGACACAGCTATCCCACTCCTTGGTTTATACCCAAAGGACTTAAAATCAGCATTACAGCCACATCAATGTTTATACAAGCTCAATTCACAATAACTAAGCTATGGAACCAACCTATGTGTCCCTCAATAGATGAATGTATAAAAAAAATGTGGTATATATACTCAACGGAATATTACTCAGCTCTAAAGAAGAGTGAAACAATGGAATTTTCCAGTAAATGGAAGGAGTTGGAGAATCTCATGCTAAGTAAAATAAGCCAATCCAACATAACCAAAGGCCAATATATGGATGCTAATTCACAATAAGGTGGGGGGCACTAGGGAAGAATAGCATTATCTTAGATTAGGTAGAGGGAAGTGATAGGAGCAGGAGAGGAGGGGATGTGGGGACACTAAAGAGAGCAGAATGAAACAGACATTATTACTTTATGTGTATATGTGACTACATGAGCAATATGATTCTGCAACATGTATACTCATAAAAATAAGAAATGATATCCCATCTATGTATGATATAATGCATAAATGCATTCTACCGTCACGTATTAATACAAATTTAAAAAACAAAAAGAAAGATCAGTAGAGTAAGTGGATCATGGGAAGTGAAAGGAAAAATACTAGGTTGAGATGGATCAAATTATGTCATGTGCATGTATACATATGAATAGGACATAATGAATCCCACTACTCTGTATGACTATAATGTACCAATAAAAATAACAATAATGATAGCAATAATAATAATACCTGTACTCCCATGTTTATTACATCACTATTCTCCACTGCCCAAGATATAGAATCAATCTAAACATTAATCAATAGATGAAGTGGTAAAGAAAATATAGCATATTTTTGCAATGGAGTATTATGCAGCTATAGAAAGCATGAAATTCATTTACAATGTAGGACATTATGTTAAATGAGTGAGGCATAGGAAGGCAAACATCACATCATCTTATTTATTACTAGAATACAAAAAAATATGTCATAGAAGTTCAGACTAGAACAGTGGTTACCAGAGGCTGGAAGAATAGAGGAAAGGGGAGATAGTAAAAGGCTCATTAATGAATACAATTTTACAGTTAGATAGAAAGAATAAGTTCTGATCCTCTCTGGCATGGAAAGGTGAATATAATGAGAAACAATGGATTAATATATCTCAAAACACTTAGAAGAGAGGATTTTGAATGCATTCACCATAAATAAACAATAAAAGTCTAAGATGATGGATATGCCAATCACTCAAAGTTGAACAATGCCCGATATAGGCAGAACATCATAATGTACCTCATAAATTTGTACAAACACTATGTGTCAATCAAAATAATAATAAAATAAATATCAAGAAGAAAACACAAAAGGCAAACAGTACAAATGAGAATGTTGGGTTGGATATACTGTTGTACTATGTTGGTGAAAACTAAAACTAGAGTAACCATTATTGTAAATAGTCTGGAGGTTCCCCAAAAATTAAAAACAGAACTACCATATGACACAGAAATCCCACTACTGGGTATATATCCAAAGGAAATGAAATTAGTTTGCTGAAGAGATATCTGCACTCACATGTTTATTGCAGCATTATTCATAATAGCCAAGAATACACAGAATCAACTTGTGTTCAATGGATACATAAATTAAGAAACTATGTCATATGTATATGAAAATACTACTCAGCCACAAATAAAAAACAAAATGTCATTGGAATTTTAATATGGATTGAATTAAATCTGTAGACTGCTTGGATATTAAAGACATTTTAATGAGAATTTTAATGAGCAATGACTGTGTTTCCATTTATTTGTGTCTTCTTCAAATTCTTTCACCAATGTATTATAGTTTTCAGTATATGGATCTTTCACAATAACTACAATTTCAAAATTTACATTGTTTGATTATAGAGGGTGTCCTTAAACTGGTCACAAGAAAAAAATACAATCCAGATTCCAGCAAACAGGAAAGATGAAGGATTTCCCCAGGCATAGAGAATCCTGACAGCACATGGCCTATTTTGGTAAGTGTTCTATTCACATTTGAAAAGAAATTTAATTCTAAAGTCATTTTGGGTAGTGTTCTATCATTGCAAATCACTTTAATTTGATTAGTACAAATATAATGCTAAAAAGACATATAACAAATAACATTATCTTACATTGCTTTTGGTGTCATTGTGCATGATTCTCCTGAGCAATAGCAGTGGGCACTATTATCATAATCCAATCCAATAGTAACTCCTAGCAACTGAACAATAGTGACAGCAAATGACTCCCAGGATAAACCCTCTGAATACTAAAAACATGAAGAAAAAAAAAAACTTTTATTAAGAATTATGATGTTATAAAATAAAGCAATATTAACTATAATGAAAAATTAGTATATTTAAAGCTCATTTTTAAACTTATTAACATATTCAAGGCCCCTGTGTAGATGTAAGTTATCGTAGGGTTATATAAACTTTTCAGGTAGACTTATTCAACCTGAATTGTTGAGAGCCATCCATGGGCTATGTGTGGACTACACTGGCACCACAGCCTAGTGAATAGGAGAATCTTGTGTCTGGGAATGTCCAGTGGAAATTTCCTCTGGACAAGACCACCCAGCTACATTGTTAAGTCCTATTCAGCCCTGCCCCAGGTCACACACAACATGGGAGATGAGGTGACCTGCTGCAGCCCACAGCCTCTCAGAGATGGGTATGACCTGCCAAGATGCCAATCAATATGCTGACTGCCAGACATCACTAAGCAAGACTACGCCCCTAAAATCGTATCCCTGCCTTTGATGTACTATCTTAAATAAGCCACAGGAGCCATTTTTTAGTTGTCCAGCTCCAGGCTCCTGTGTGGGCTGAACTTATCAGGTGCTCCATCCTTTAAAACTTTAATTCTGACTCTGTTTTTTGTTCTTTACTAATTATTTTAGACTTTAAGTTCTTCATAGGTTTTATTCCTCTGAGCAGGCAAGAGTTCCCTGCTGAGGTGCTGGCCACCCAATGATAATGAATGAGTCAAAATAATAATTAAATTTAATTTCAAAATACTATTAATTACTGACAACCCAAGTGATCCCAAAAAATCCAATGACCTCAAACATCACATTGGCATTACTTTAATATTTCATTTTAATAATCAGTTTTACATTCCTTCTCTAGTAGGCAGCTTCTAAAATGGGTCTCAATCATCCTTGCCTCATTGTATTCACATCTTGTGTAATTCTACTCCAAGATTTCATTAATGCATTGCACATTTCAGTCTACCCTCAAAGGAGAGTTAGTTATTTCATATTCTGGAAAGCTGTTGAACCCATGCAAGCCCTCCTTTCCCATCCCAGCTTGTGATTAAAATTAATTAAGAAATAAATGGAGTACAGGAAATATTTTTTTTTTTACCAAAACTTGCACACTCCATTTCTTCTACTCTCCAAAAAAGAAAATATTGTTCACTTTTGATTGGTAAAAAATACAAATTAGCTAAGATCCCTAGGAATCTCAAGGAAAAAAAATAATATATAAGATACATAAAATTAGTACAAGCACTAGAAAAGAGAGCAAAGCAGATTCAAATTCACCCTTCTATACTCTATAGATCATGAGACAAAGATACTGAAGATTATGTTTCCTATGTTTTTGTCACCAAATTATTGATAGTTGGAAGGAAGAAGAGATTCTTCTCATATATTGTTGCTTTTGTAAGCCTTGCCCAACCAGCAGCATTTTGCCTCTAAAGTAGAAGTTTATTCCAGTAATTTCAGCTAAATTCAGGATCAATAGTTTCACAGATTATAGTGCCTTCCAGTTCTATCATAACCCATCCAATCCTAGATTTTAAAAGTAGCAGTAGCTGGAGACACCATATCTACCTCCACAGGCAACTTTTGAAAAACCCACAAGTAAAATCATAATCAATGACAAAAACTGAAAGCTTCTCCTCTGATATCAGATACAAGGCAGGGATATCCACATTCACCAGTTCTCTTCAACATAGTGTTGGAAATACAAGCAAGAGCAATCAGACAAGAAAAATAAACAAAACACATCCAATGGGTGTTTCAAGGTGGAACAAGGTGGTTGCTCCATGGTGTGAAACCAAAAAACAGATAGGCAGCTTCTCAAGAAGGTGGGTAAACAAAAAAGGGAGCAGAGAACTTTACTGTAATTTAATACTCAGCATAAAGAATATTAGGGACTCTGGAAGTTGGATATAATTAAATAAGGAAGAAACTTCCAGTGCCACCTCCACTGCCACAGTGGGAAGCAATAGCCAGAGCAGTCCCTCCACAAGCAAAGTGAGGGGATAAGGGAGAATTAAAGGAATCCACATTTTTAGGAAGCCCGAATCATGTCTGGATATGAAGAGTTTAGGGTCAAAGACACAGCCCAATTGAACTGAAAGGCATGATGCACAATATATTTGTGCAGGAAAGAACCTGCATCTCTCCCAACCGTGTGCAGAGGTCACAGGAAAGAACCATTTTGCAGCCAAGGAATTGGGGCCGGCAACTAGGGGAGCCAATTCCTAGCAAACCTGAGTTCGGTCTCAAATACAAGCCTGGCAAAATCACACTGCAAGACATACAGTGTACTTATGTAACCAGGAGAAAAATCAAACATGGAAAGGGGTTTACATAGAATACTGGTTGTGGAAACCCACCTGCTTTTGCCCTTCCACTCCAATATGGCTGCTTGCAGGAATGGCTGGGAGAGGCATGCCTGGCTGGGAATTTGAAAGAGCAGGGACAGAAGAAATTGAGTTTGCAGACTGAACCAGAGACCAAGAAACATGAGATCCACAGATGACAGAGTGGCCTAAGAATTCACTCGTTCACCACATGAGTGGAACTTAGGGGAGATCCCTATGGTGCAGTCTTCCAGTGTGGACCAGCAATTTCTGGGCCCTAGAGGTGCACTGATTTAAAATCTCCAGACCAACTGGCATTAATCAAAGTGCCTGGAGCCTACCTAGGCCTAAACCACCTCCAGGAGTTTCCCCTATGAGATTACCTCTCTCACTCCAGCAACCCCTGCCCCCAAGGGTGGAGGCAAGCTTCAAATTCCAGACAAGCCCGTGTAACACTGTTGAGAAGGGAAGCTGATAATATTCTGAGCTCCAAAAACAAAAATTCTTTAATTTTTCATTGAGATCCTTTTTTTCCTTTTTTTTTTCCTCTGTTTAATTATGATCTTAATGATTCATGGACCTTCATACATATGCATATTTGTTTTTTCTCATTTCTACCTATTTGAAGCCAGTTATTTTTCATTGACCAGTATTTTGAAGACAAAGATGATTGATTATTTTATTTTTATTTTTAATTTTTAAAATTTTCACCTTATGTATATTTTTTCTCTCACTAATCTGTTTCCCTTCATTCTCTTTCTTTCTTTTTTCTGCTAACAATCTCTACTATTCTTTCTTTCATTCTAGCTTTAATTCTTTACTTCTATCTTCTCTCCTTCTTCCTCATAAACATTACAACCTACATCACTTCTACTGTCTCCCTATCCACCATTTGAAATTGTAAACTCTTTTGCAAACTTACTGTTTTATTGTAGGCAATAACTGATCATGTTATTTCTGTTCATTGTGACAATTAACATTGTAGATGTCATAGCAGGAGCTATTTGGTTTAATGCTGTATATTGTTTGCATTGGTTGTTGATATTATTTGTACCCACCCTAAATGGTGAGGTACTGGAAACTATCAGGGACACTATAAGTCCACAAGGCAGAAACACTACTATGTCAAGTCCACATTCATAGATGGGTAGACACACAAACAACATGAAAAAGCAAAAGAACAAATCATCCCAAACAAATCAAGATGCTCTAATAACAGAATCCACTGACACCACACTGAAAGAAATGTCAAAGAAAGGTTTTTAGAATGTTCATAGTTAACCTGATCTGCTAAGTAACAGATGGTATAAGGAATGAAATCAGTATATATTATTCCAAGACCTCAAATCTAAGAGGTCGTCTTGGAATAACATATACCCAATCTCTGAATGAAAATGAATGCCAGCCAAGAATATTACACTAAGCAAAATTAAGCTACAGAATTGATGAAGCAATAAAAACCTTCTGTGATAAACAAAAGTTAAAAGAATTCACAACTAGAAAGCCTGCATTACAAAACATACCTAATAAAATATTACATGAAGAAATGAAACATAAAAGTGAAAACCACCAAAGGGAGGAAGTACAACTAGAAGAATAGTCAATCAAAGAAGAAACTAATTCAAACTAAAAAACCAAAAATAACTCAAAATGACATAGAATAAAAATCATTTCTCAATAAAAATATTGAATATAAATGGCCCAAACACATCAATCAAAAGACATAGGCTAGAAGATTGGATTAAAAAATGAGATGCAACAATATGCTGTCTCCATAAGACTCATCTCCATAGATAATGACATCCAGACTGAAGCTAAAATGATGGGAAAAACATATCATTCACATGGATTTTGTAAACAAACAGGATTTATTATCCTCATATCAGATAAAGTGGACTTCAAGCCAAAGTTAAACAGAAGAGACAAAGAAAGACATTTTATACTGCTTCAGGGAATTATACATCAACCAGACATAACAATTGTAAATATTTATGCCCCGAACAATGGAGATTCTACATACATCAAACAAACTGTTCTCAATTTCAAGAATCAAATAGACAACAACACAGTAAAACTGGATGACTTTAACAAAACTCCATCACCAGTGGATAGATTCTCTAAAGAAAAACAAACAAAAAAAGAAGCTATAGAACCCCAAAATACAATTAATAATTTAGACACAACATAACAGATACATATAGAAAATTTAATCCATCAGTGACTGAAAACCATCTAAGTAACAAATGGATCTCCATAAAATAGACCATATCTTAGGCCACAAAGAAACTCTTAGCAAGTACACTGAAAAAAAGAGAGAGAGAGGGAGGGAGGGAGGGAGGGAGGGAGGGAGAGAGGGAGAGAGAGAGAGAGAGAGAGAGAGAGAGAGAGAGAGAGAGAATACCTTCATTATTATCAGGTCATATGGATTGAAATCTGAAACCAACAATAAAATAAACAATAGAACCTACTCCAATACTTGGAGACAAAATAATACCATATTGAATGACCAATGAATAGCAGAAGAAATCAGGGATGAAATTTTACTTAACTATAAATGAAAATAGTGATACAGTATATCAAAATCTCTGGGATACTATGAAGGCAGGTCTAAGAGGAAAGTTCATTGTATTGAGCTCATTCACTAAAAGAATAGAAAGTCACCAAATAAATAACCTAACATTATATCTCAAAGTCCTAGAAAAAGTAGAACTAATCAACACCCAAAGCAGCAGAAGACAGCAAATAATGAAAATCAGAGGAGAAATAAAGAAACTAAAACAAAAAATTAATGAAACAAAATGTTATATCTTTGAAAAAATAAATAAAATTGGTAAAACCTTAACCAACCTAATAATGTGAGAGAAAACTTACTGAAATTTATAATGAAAAAGACACCACTGAAATAACAAAAATAATCAGACTATTTTGAAAATGTATACTCTAATAAATTAGAAAATCTTGGAAGACATTAACAAATTTTTAGAGACATATGACCTACACAAATTGAATCAGGAGGACATAGAAAATTTAAACAGATCAATTTTAAGCAAAGAAATTGAACATGTCATCAAAGCCTACCAGCAAACAAAAGCCTAGGACCAGAGGGATTCTCACCTGAGTTCTATCTGAACTTTAAATAGAACTACCCCCAATCCTACTCAAATTATTCCATGAAACGGAAAAGGAAGGAACACTTCCAAATTAATTTGATCACCATGATACCAAAACCAGACAAAGATGCATCAGGAAAGAAAACTTCAGACCAATATCCCCAATGAACATAGATACAAAAAATTCTTAATAAAATACTGGCAAATTGCATACAGAAATATATTAAGAAGATAGTGCACCATACTCAAATGGGGTTCATCTCAAGCATGCAAGGTTGGTGCAACATACAGAAGTCAATAAATGTAAACATCAATAGACTTAATGACAAGAATTTCATGATTCTATAAATAGATGCAAGAAAAGCATTTGACAAACTACAGCATCCGTTCATGACCAAAACACCAGAAAAATTAGGGATGATACGACCACACATCAACATAATAAAAGCTATATATAATAAACCCAAGGCAAACACCATTCTAGAAGGAGAAAAATTGGAAGAATTTCCTCTGCAAACTGGAACAAGACAGGGAGACCCTCTTTCACCACTTCTGTTCTACACAGTACTGAAAAACCTACCAGAGCAATTAGAAGAAAGAGGAAAAGAAAAACTCAAATTATCCTTATTTGCTGACTATATAATTCCCTACATTTAGAAGACCATAAATCTCCACCAGAAAACTTCTAGAACTCATAAATGAATTCAGCAATGTATCAGGATATAAAATTAACACTCATAAATCATTCCATTCCAATATACCAGTGATGAATCAACTGATGGAAAATTATCCCATTCGCAATAGCCACAAAGAAAATAAAATATTTGGGAATCAATCTAACAAAAGAGGTGAAAAACCTCTACAATAAAAACTACAGAACACTAAAGAAAAAAATCCAAGAAGACCTTAGAAGATGGAAAGATCTCCCATGATTCTGAATAGGCAAAATTAATATTGTAAAAATGGCCATGCTACCAAAAGAACTATCTATATACATTTAATGCAATTACTATTGAGGTTCTGATGACATTCTTCAGAGAAACAGAAAAAGCAGTCATGAAATTCATTTGGAATATAAGAGACCCAGAATAGCCAAAGCAATCTTCAGCAAGTAAAGCAGGAAGCATCAAAATACCAGACTTTAAATTATACACTGGTATAGAAGATAAGACATACAGACAGAACCACATAAATACAGTTATCTCATACTAGACAAAAGTGCCATAAATATGCATTGGAGAAAAGATAGATTTTCAACAAATGGTGCTGGGGAAACTAGAAATCCTTGGGTAATAAAATAAAATTAGAACCCTATTTCTCACAGTGAACAAAACTCTTCTCAAAGTGGATCAAGGACCTAGAAAAACTACACATAATAAAAGAAAAAGTAGGCCCAAATCTCCATCATGTCAGCTTAGGAACCGAATTCCTCAACAAGACTCCTAAGGCACAAGAAGAAAAATTGAGAATTAATAAATAAGCTCTTATAAAACTAAAATGCTTCTTCACAGCAAAAGAAATAATCAAGAACTCAGAGGTATACACAATGGAATAGTACTCAACCTTTAAAAAGAATGAAATTATGGCATTTGCCAGAAAATGGATGGAACTGGAGAATATATGCTAAGTGAAATAAGCCAGGCCAAATAACCAAAGACCGAATGTTTTCTCTGATATGCAGATGCACAATGGTATGGGGGTGGATAGAATAGAGGTATTTTAGACTAGACAGTGGGGAATAAAGGGAGCAGAGATAAGAATGATAATAGAATAAATTGGACATTATTACCCTATATGCATATATGATTGCAATTTGGTGCAATCAATCTGGAAAGCAGTATGGAGATTCCTTAGAAAACTTGGAATGGAACCACCATTTGAAGCAGCTAACCTCTCCCATCTCTACAACCAAGG